TTGTATTAGTGTAAATGTTCGGGCGGCAAAGACTACGAAGACTAATGAAAATGTTTTCGATTTTAAAACCGCGTCGATTTCGGGGAAAATCGGGTGTAAGGCCTACTACACCGCTGGCTAGTGAACGGGCGGAGACGGTACGGGCGTGTCGGAAGAGAAGTCGCGACGGTGACGGAAGTAGAAAGAAAAATCACCGCGAGGATCGCCGCGGAGGGCGGTGTTCCGCAAGTGGAGTATTGAGGAAGAAACGGAGACTTCGCACATTGCGTGCGCAAAACTCGAACTATTAATCGTTACCGGCCGACACTGACGAAATACCGGAACAACATAATCCGTTAACCCGGGATGCGGTTCGGCGTCGCTGCGTAGACGAGTGACCGCGCACGCGTCACAGCAGAACCGAACGGTCCGGTTGATCGGTCACCGTTATCGTATCGTTGCCCGGCCGGCCGGTTCGGTCGGTCACCGATCGGCACGCGATGATGCGGCGCACGGCGGCGTGTACCGAACGCCCGCGGTAACTCGCGACGCGCGATATCTCGGTCGGCGTTGGGGGGAGGGGGTGGTGGTGGTGGTGGAAAGGGGCGATAGGGGCGGCGCGCATCGCTCGCGGCGGGCGACTGGTGCGGGCCGATCCGCAGGCCGCCGGTGCCGCGACGAGACTCTTTAGAATCCTATTATCTTTTCCCGGCCGGCTTAATCTCGGGCTGCGGCCGCGGCACGGTCGTGGGTGTGCGGGGGGACGGCGAGGACGACACTCGTCGTCGGGTTTATCCGCGGCGCGTCATTGTTTGCGAACATGTGGCGTTTATTTACACGGTCGCCCGAGCACACGCCGCCGACGCGTCACCGCCGAAACTCAATTATAACACACTCGGAAAACGCCGCGCGCCGCCGCCGCCGGCGGCGGTTACTTCTCGTTCGCTGCTCCCGCGTATCAATTTCTGCAGCGGCGACGGCGCAGGTAGGACGCACGCGTTACGTATAATACGTATTCGCGTTCAACTGTTCGCGAAGGATTATCCGCGTGTACCGCGCCGTATTATTATAGCGCGCGCGCGTGTATAAATATACGTACACACACACACATATATATACTCGCACTGCAGTCGCAGCACACGCCCAACCGACCTAACCTGGAAATAATAACACTCATTATGTACCGCGCGCGCGACGACGGTTCGTATTTGTATACGTATAAATGCGTGCGAGACGCGCCGCAGATCCTTTCCGCACCGCTCGGCCGCCCGGATGTTATTGTTGCCGCGTTGCGCGCGCCGATCCGCGTCCGTACGCGTTTACGTGCGCGCGCCGCGCCGTTTCGTTATTGCGTGTCCGCGCGTAAACGTTCGGTGATTTTAATGGCGAATCCGTGTCGCGTTTCGCGCGTAGGCAGCGCAGGCGGGTACGCCGCCGCTACCGTCCGCGTCCGACACGCGCGCGCACGTATGAATATGTACGGCGCAGAGTGCAAAAGTGCACTTATATATATATATATATACACACACACACACACACACACACACTATACAGGGTGTCCCACGAAGATATACCCGCCGCGATATCATTCCCCGAGATAACGAATTGATAATCGAATTCTGTTTTTTTTTTTTTGTTTTCGTGTTTTTTAATCGTTTTTTAACGGTACTAGTGTTTATCGAATTACATTCCTACGTTTCAGTTAGAAAAAAAAAATGAAAAGAAAACGATAATTTTATTTTATCGATTTCGGCACAAATCCGAAGAAGGCCGTTTTATAGAGTATATTTCCCCCGGAAATGCCGACGTTTCGAGTTTTTACTTTCGTCGAAATTCGTGATTTTTTAAAGTTCGGAGAAAATAGTATTTGTAAAAAAAAAAAAAAAGGAAACCGTCCAGGACAATGGAGACGGGTGCGGCAACTGGTGTAGGTGTAAAGTTTGGAAGGTAGGGTATAGACGAGAGTTCAATGTACATCTGTAAGCAACAATAAACCATTGCTTACGAAAAAAACGATTCTGAACGGTATTCAATTGATCGTGATACTTTGTCAACAATATAAATGTCATTTAATAGTAAAATAATTAAATAGGCTTTATATATATTTTTTTAATAATAACTGTTTAATAATGTACCGATTTTCTCAATTTTCCTGCATTTTTCCCTATTTCCCCATTGAGCGAAATTGCTGGTTGAAAAATTGTTCAAAGAAAAAAAAATATCGTAAAATTATATTTATTATATTTTGTAAATTTTTCCGTTTTTATTCGGTTTTTCGCATTTGATGAGAAAATCAAAAAATGACTTAAAGTACCCCTCCACGCCGATTTCCTATCAGAAAAGTTGCGCACAGATAAAAAAGAAAAAATTAATAAACATCTTTGTAAAACTGTAAGCTTCTTCGCTTCGTTAAAAATCTAAAACTTAGTTTTCGTATTTTGTGTCATATTTTTCATTTTTTTCGTTGCGTATTTTGAATAAATCAAACTCATATTTTACTATTTTTTTTTTTTTTATCGCATATACAACCCTAGCCTATGCTATAACACTATGTGTAGTAATCGTGTCTTCGCATAAATTTTTTTTCCGCGATTCGTTTAAGTTTACGGTTATTCAATAATATCGCTTGCGGTCGTTGCCGCTGTTAAAAAAAAATAAAAACCGATAGATCGTGTCTATTCGACACGCAGAATTTCTTAAACTTTAGAAAAATCGTAGTGATAATTAATTAACGCACCGTCATTAGTGAACGTGTTCAGTAACGACGCGAAATTTCGTTTTATGCGTTGTAAAAAAAAAAAAAAAAAACACAAGGAACGTAAGACGAATCATAGCGCTGAGCGTCATTGTCGCTGAAAAAAAACGACGAAAAGTTTTTCGAAACCGAACCAGATCCACGGCGTTTTCGACGGCTCTCTTCGCGGGACACTCTGTATGTACACGTGCGTACGGCTCTACAAACGAGAGTGCGGCCGACGACAAATAATAATAAATCCCGCGCCGGCGGGATAATGACGACGAATACGAACGGGGAAGAAAATAAATAGAAAAAAAAAAAAAAATGTAAAATATATACGAGTGTTTATACTATATTTGCAGGTACGCAGCATGCGAGAAAACAAAAAAAAAAAAAAAAACGTTTCGGGTTTTTTAATAATTTTTTTTTTCNCGACACGCAGAATTTCTTAAACTTTAGAAAAATCGTAGTGATAATTAATTAACGCACCGTCATTAGTGAACGTGTTCAGTAACGACGCGAAATTTCGTTTTATGCGTTGTAAAAAAAAAAAAAAAAAAAAAACGTTTCGGGTTTTTTAATAATTTTTTTTTTCTCCTCCCCGTTCTGTACACCGTAATTGTTCTTCCGACGCGCTCGCGTTCATACAAACGAACGGGGGGAAACTTCTATACAACTCGCACTCGATTTCCCGACAATAATTATTATTTCCGCGCGCGTATTTTTAGAATTTTTTTTTTTTTGTCAGTAAAACATAATAAATTAAACGCACCGAGATAAGCTCCGGCCCGTTCACCGACGACAACTCGTCTTTCGCCAAAAGCTTTGCAGTAACGTATTATTTCGCGTTGTGCATGCGAACCCGTCGACGGATGTATCGGAACAACAACAACAGCGAGATAATAATACTATTTTCGTTTGTGATATGCATGCTCGGAAAAAAAAAAAAATTACGCGAATCCGTACCGTTAAGCATCGCGTTTCACCGAGTAGAAAATAAAAAATAAAATAAAAAAAACCTAAGAATGAAAAAATTGCTTTTAAACGGCGTGTTAACATGCACTCGTTCACGGTGTGACTTTCGTGTTTTACGGCGCGCTCGAGCGGTCGGTTTAACATCGGAAACTAACGATATTTTCAATTAAATCCCGTTTACACACGTTTCCGTTCGAAAGTTGCGCGGGATTGCGCGTGGTTTTTTTCATAAATGTCGCGAGGAAAAATAAAAAAAAATAAAATACGCACGGTTCATCTGGAGTCGAGTGAAACGTTACCGTGTAAGTCCATGACAATCGATTTTTCACTCGCGTTATAGAACCGTACGACTCGGCCGCTTTTCTACCGAAAACATTCAAACAACGTTCGTTTTTTTGTGAGTTGTATGAAAAGACCCGGCTATCGGCCCTTGGTTACGGATCAGGTTCGCGGGCTACATTACAACGAGTTCGAAATTTAAAACAAAGCGCAAGACGTCCGTCATCCCGGAAAGCGTTTTTTTGACTTTCGTTATTTTTTTCGAAAAGACAATTATTTCGGACCGAGCGGGATTTGAAGTATCCGAATAAAACAACGGCAACGGAAAATGACGCGCGACATTTGTTATACACGCTACAAACGTCGAATTATAATACACACCGTAGCGCTTATTTGTGTGTATTTACACGTTTCCGGTGTGTGAACGCGCGCAATATTCTACAAACGTTTTTGGATTTTTTTTTTTTTTCAATCTTTGTTGCGAGAAATAATAAAACCGTACACTGCGCAGGACATCGGTCGGGAATAAAATAAACAACTTATCATTGTATAGACACGGGCACACCGTGAACTCTCGCATAACAATTTACTATACACTATTATGTATCGCGAACGTTATTATTTCGTCCGCGTATATAATTCACTACGGTCTGGAGAGCACGCCGCCGCCGCCGTCGTCGCGGATCTTTCCATTATTCGGATTAATCATTTTCCGAGTACGGCGGACCCGACGCACACAGCAACAGCAACAATATCGCGCGGAGTCGCGTTCGTATTAAATTCGAAAAATACGGCAAGAAAAAAAAAAAATAATAATAATAATAAAAAGCGGAAAAAAAAAAAAAAAAACGAAAGAGATACGCGACGTCAATTATGCGAATTGAAACGAATCGGCCGTACCGGGCTCGTGTACGCGGTCCTATTGAAAGTCGAGTTTTGCGACAATCGCGCACGCGCCGTCGGACCTCGTCGCAATCACCGTTGAAGCTTTCTGTAGCGTCCCCGGCAGACGTATAAGCCCGCGTACGCGATTCAACGTCCGAACGCCGGGTATAATATCGCGGCGATGCAAGCGCGTACGAGCTCCCCGTGTCCCCTCCCTCGCCTACCCACTCAAGGATTTCGAGACGGAATCAACTTTATTCTTTCGTGCATCAAACCCCGTCGTTAAATTCGAAATGGAGCGGCTGAGGACATGCTTAGCGTATATCTCGGGAAGGGGAGGTCAAGCGCAAACGACGACGACGACGGATATAAAGCACAAACAAGCTCAAACGGATGAAGTTAATTTTCTGTTTCGAAATTATAAAGCGGGGGGGGGGACACGGAGCTGCGCGTATGCGCGGATTAAGGGGGACAGGGTTTGAAAATGTCGCGGTGGGCTCACTATTCCGTAAACTCAAGACGCACGTTTTTTTTCAATGCTCGACGTTTACCCGAAATCGAGTTGAACGTTCCGGGTTTCTTACACAACTGAGGTGTGTGTCGATACTGTACGATTGGATTCGAGGGGATTTTTCCCGCGGCCCCCGATACCCCTCGCTTCCCACAGGACGTATCCGAGAAAAAAAAACAAAAACGTTTTACGCAAGTACTTGTGGTAACAGACACGGTACACGTTACGCGTCTAACGGGCAACGCGGTTGCAAAACGTCGTTTCGGGAAAAAGTGTAAACAGACTTTCGTCCGCATAGACGATTTCTATTGTCGCGATGTCCGTCCGTCATTGTTCTCGTCCGGACCGATCGGCGGCATCCGCGCGGTCCGTCTCCGTCCGGGCGCGTTGTCCGCGTCCCGACGCCCGGAACGGGGCCGTACGCAATATCAAAGCGGATACGCGCGCGCCGCCGCCGACTACGACGACGACGCGCGTAACAATTGCAGTAACGTTCTACCGCGCCTAACCGCACGATACCGGCACGGCTACGGTCCATAAATAATGTGCGCGACGCACTCGAGACGACTCACCCCGTAACGGTGACGTCTGGCGACGCGTACGGTTATTATTGTTGTTGTTGTTGTTGTTATTATTATTATTATCATCGTAATAATATTACGGCGACGTGCGTAACCGCCGGGCCGCTTTGTGTATCCGTCGCCGTCGCAGCCGTCTCGTTTCGCCCGGAGCCGCGACACCACCACGTCAACCCGACCCGCGCGTGAGCGACGGCGTCGCAAGATTTGTCAGACGGTCGGACGGCCCGTGACAGACACGCGGTACGCGCCCGCGTTTAGCCCGTTTAGCCGCGACGTGTCGGGCGGGCGTTTCGTCGCGTACAGGCGCCGCCGCGCCGCATCGTAACGACAGCAACGGCATTGACGTCCGGGCCCGGGCGCGCGTCGCGGAAACGTTGTGTTTTCGTCCGCGACGACGGGCGGCGGAAAGTTTCGAAAAGACGGGGCGCCCGCCCGCGCGCGGCTTGTTGGCAATCGAAATGCGTACGCGCGGAGTTTAGTTTCCCGTCGGAATTAGCGCCGTGTCGAAAACCGTACACGCGACCGTACGCTTTTTGCCGCCTCACGTTATCGCCCCGTCGCCGCGCTCCGCACGGTTCGGGCGCGCGCCCGTATTACCGTGCGATTTTCTCGCGGGAGCGTGTACGGTAGCGGTCCTGTCATTAAATTTCCGAGGACGCGACAAACTCTGTAACGTTGTAGACAAGGGGCGGCGGAATTATTTTTACACTTTATGCCAAAAATTAGCTTTTCTTTTTTTCTTTTTTTTTTCTTCTTCGAGCTTGCCATTAAATTATGAAAAGTATTATACAGAGTGATTTTTTTTGTTATCACGACCAGCATTTATCTCAGAGGATTTTAACCGAATCTGATTGCTGTTTTTTCGAATCATTATGCATTTCTTTAAGCTATATTCTAAAACCATTTCAAATTTTTTACCCCTACTCCATAAACCTTAAATATGTACATACTTTTGATTTTCAAAAAGAACTCTACCCCCTCTCCTTTGAATACAAACTTTTCTATTCCTGTTCTAGACATACCACTTTAATGATGTCTCATAATCAAAGTAACTAAATAATATACAATTCACGCCGACGACCGAAAGGTCTGCTCCAGAAACAATACAATTTGTTGATAAATCGGATTCGTTTTTTTATACTATAAACTGTAGATAGATTTAATTAATACTGTAATAACGTATTAAAAGCAGCGTCTGTCTAAAAAATAATAATAAAAAAACTTAACGGCTATCACGGTAACACACAGAAAACCGAATAATTCAATAAAATTATAATATAAAAGTTTTAGCTTTTGAAATCTCCGGAGAAAATAAAAAAACGACCTCTTTAAAGTACCTCTCCAGTGAAATATCCTTTTAGAAAAATTGCTATTATTATGAGTTGGAGCAAAATTGCCGATAGAAAAGTTGCGCATAGATAAAAAAAAAAAAATAATAAATACCTATGTAAAACTATAAGCTTTCTCATTACATTCAGAATCTAAAATTTATTTTCGTTTTTTATTTTTATAATAACCATAAAGGTTATGTACATGTAAGTATCTACATGTGTTTCCCGTTATATTATCATAATATTGTGTTATAATTGTGCAGAGGAGTGTTTAATGGGGGGCAAAGGAGGCATTTTTCCCCACCGTCAAAATTTTAAAATATTTCATAGGCGGCATTCGTATACAGATTTTTCATACATTTTTTGCAGAGGAATTTGATTTTAAAACTTATAAAAATAAAAAAAAAACATAATATAATTACACATTACACTTCCTGTTTTTTTATTTTACTACAAAGTACAATCTATAATGAACTTCCTGTTTAATTTTTAATCTTTTCTGTTTAGTCTAAACATTTTATTCACAGAGTAGGTAAGTACCTAAAACGATTAAAATTGAAGTATAAAACTCGCAAAATTAGACTCAAATGTTTTGAAAATTTGATTACGTCTAAAGAAACCAAGCATAAGATTTTTGTCCAAATTTCATTCTTTACGAAGATTTTGAACTTAATTACATTAAAAAAATTAAATTGAAATAATAAAAACATTATTTTCGTAAATTTCACGATTTTATTACGTTATTTCTCTATTTTTCCTATATTTCCTTTCAGAAAAAGTGCTACACTTGGTACATCGGATCAAGATTTCTGGTAGAAATTGTGTATGCAGATAAAAAATAATATAAAAATCTTTGTAAAACCATCTGAAATTTTTAATTAGTTCGAAAAATTAATAAATATGAAATTATAGGTTTGCAAAACATTATTTTATTACCTACTATTTAAAATTAAAATTGTATTTACTATTATAATGTTCAATTATAATAATGATTTTCTAGTGAAATATTTTTGTTGCTAGGGATTCAACTAAATGTTTCTTTATAATGTTTCTTACTAGTTTTGGAAATAAACATTTATTTTGAAATATCGTCAAATTAGTTAGATCTTTTTTTCTGCACCAAATATTAATTCACGTTTATTTCTATAACAGTTTATATNGTTTATTTTGGTTTTGTTGGGTTAATCTAATAAGAAATATTAGCTTAATCTAATTATGACATATTATTTTCAGGTTCGCTCACGTTCTTCTGTTAATAATTCAATAAATAGTTCTATTTCAGGTAATAACATAATATTATATTTTGGATTTTCTATTATAAGTGGAAATTATAAATTAAATTAAACAACTTAATTTTTTTTTTATCGATCTATCTATTTTTTAACTAAAGAGTTAATACTTATTTTAAATCGAAAACTAGGAGTTCAGATTTCTAATTGGTATTTATAAATTGTATGGAATTGCTGTTTCAAAAAAAATCTGACTAATATTTCGATACTAATTTAGAAGAACGTGCAGTTGTAGAGTTAGGAACATACGCTGTTGAACAAGTTTTCGAAGATGCTATAGATGTTGTGGTTAAAGACATCTTAAATAATATTATCGAAGAAGTTGTAATGAAAACAACCATCAATTGTGTAGTTCAAGATTCAGTTGAAGAAGATATAACTATAGAAAGTACAAATGATTTTGAAAGTTCCAAGGCGGATTAAACACCATCGATGGACGATGTCACACTTGTTGGCGTCCTGGGGAAAGGGAGTTTTGGAAAAGTAATATATATTATTATTAATAATTATTGTATAAACAAGTAATTCGTGTTTCATTTGCTTTCCATTCATATTAGGTAACATTATGTCAACATAAAATATCGAACAGGTATGTTGCCATAAAAAGCATCCACAAATCAAAAATAATTACTTCCAGCAAATCAGTAGAGTCATTATACTCCGAAAAAAAGATATTTGAAGTGGTGAATAACAGCCCCCACCCGTTTCTCGTAAACTTGTTCTCATGTTTTCAGACAAACATAAGTGTATTAAAAATTAGTTATTTATTTGTATTTTGAAATTAATTGGTTTATTGTTCACAGGATTATGCTTGTTTTGTCATGGAATACGCTGCAGGCGGCGATTTAAACTGGCACATAGAAAATTATGGAGCATTTACGGAACCAAAAGCCGTGTTCTACGCCGCATGTGTGGTGCTAGGTGTCACGTATTTACACGAACACAACATCGTTTATCGGTTAGTACAATGTTAAATATCATTTCTACATATTACATTGTTGTTAATATGGTGCGTTTATTATTGGTTAGAGATATAAAACTAAACAATTTAATTATGACAACGGACGGCTACATAAAAATAGCGGATTACGGTTTATGTAAGCTAAATATTGGATTTGGAGATCGAACATCATCGTTTTGCGGGACTGCCGAATTTGTAGCGCCAGAAATATTAATAGAGACGTCGTACACACGAAGTGTCGATTGGTGGGCTTTTGGTATTTTAATATACAAAATGCTTGTGGGAGAAGTAAATATAATTTGAATATTAATGTGTAACATAATACTGTAACTAATAAAATTGTTTTTCACAAGTACCCTTTTACAAGCTGGAACAGAATGAAACTTTTTGATTCTATCATCAGCGATGAGATAGATTACCCACAATTTCTGTCTTCAAAATCAGAAGATATTATGAAAAAAGTATGCTATTTTAAATTCATATTAGA